TATATATTATACTATAACACACACAACACACACACACATATATATATATATATATATATATATATATATATGCACACAAACTACCCGAAAAATGGGAAATACCCAGTCAGATCGCTATAATACACCTTAACCATCGTTCGCTTGCTAGGTGTGAGGTTTTAGGGTTTGAAATTTAGGAACCAATATTGGCTTGCATGTCCTTGTCCATATTCTCCCCATGGCTATACAAACAAATCCCGAATAAGCATTTTCTCACGTATCTGTACTCACAATACAACAGTGCTGGAGTTTACCCGCATGCACACACATATACTGTACTATGTACATATATGTATGACCAATTGTACATGTACTAGAACCCTAAACCCTTAAAACCTATCGTGCAATTGTACATGTATGTTTACACAATTGTACGTATATGCATGACCACTTGTACATGTATAAGTACAGAGACGAACAGTTCTTATTGAAGAACACTAGCACCATAATGATGAGTCATACCTATGCATCCATAATAAAACTCCCGTGCCAGACCATAACCCTATATCGGAAGTACGACGGCCATACCCTACCGCGATAGTAAGGCCAATATACCCAATCAACAAGATCCTTAGATCGATAGTAAGACTATAGTACTATTTCATAACCAAACCTCAGATAAGACCATGATACCAAATCATAACCAAACGTTAGATCGTTAGTAAGACTATAGTACTATTTCATAACCAAACCTCAGATAAGACCATGATACCAAATCCTAACCGAACCTTAAATAAGACTAATACCAAATCATAACCAAACCTTAGATCGATAATAAGACTAACATTATCCTAAACCATAGCCATATGCATACACCGATAGCACCCCACAAGCCCCCCCGCCCACCTGCATGTTGATGACCATGCTGTTCTTGATGACGATGGTGCGTTCAATTGGGGTGGGCGGCACCTTGACACTCATCTCCGCCGCCGGCTGTGGGTGTGCACTGTCGCTGCCCATTGCACCAGCCCTAGCCGGCGTCAACATAACACTCCTACTGACAGCCCCGGGAAAAGGCCCATTAACAGACCCCATTAGGAATTCATCCGCTTTCTCCACACGTATGCTGTCGGTGTCTGCATACACGTGATGTCATAACTTAGTGCGATCAGAGCCCAATCTACACCAATTGGCTTCTACTACCAGTCCAGTGAAAAGGCCCATATCAGACCCCCCACAGATTCGTAATGTTCTAACTTAGTGCGATCAGAGCCCAATCTACACTAATTGTTTGGTGATCACACACAATTGAAAACCGCAGACAAGGATCACTATCAACTTCCCATAGAAATGACTCATGGGAGTGACATAGCATATACTAAAACCCTAAACCCTAAAACTGTTACCTCCCCATAGAAATTACCATAGCAATACAGCAGTCCATTAAAAACACGCACCACTTGCTATAGGTGTTTCAACCCGGCTTGAGAAACCCTTTTAAGACACTTCACTATACACGTGACTGTCTAATAGATGACACACCCCTCTGTAGGATTCATACGCCGACAGAGGAAGGGTTGTATATACTCTGTACGACATTACTATACGACATACAGAGGAAGGGTTGTATATACTCTGTACGACATTACTATACGACATACAGAGGAAGGGTTGTATATACTATGTACTACACTACTATACGTCATGGACAACACATGCAACACGCACTGCAACGTCTCTGCAAATACACTCACGGGCACTCGTACGTGCACACGTCAACAGAAACGATATCACATGCACACGTGCCCACCTCAACCTATGGGATCAAATATATTGCAACAAAGATATCACATGCATGCCCCATTTCACTCACCTACAGTAGTACCAGTTCCAGTGGTCACCTTTTTTAACACCTTTCTTTTACACGAAGTTCCGCTACCACCTACTGCCATCTGAAGGAGAAGTAGACATCCGAACACGAACGTCAGTATTGGGCGTATCTTATGTATAGAACTAGCCAAATATATATACATATAATA